TTTCTTTTCGAATAAAATTCTGGAAAAAAAAATTTTTTCATCAATAATATATATATATATATATATATATATATATTTATTTATATTTATAAATTATATATATACTTCTGTATCTGTATGGAAGAATTTGTAGAGCGCCCTTACTGGAAAACTTCATAAGCGCTAGCTTCACTCGAGAATGTCAAAACAAATGGTTTTTAAAACGTTTCATGAAAACATGTCGGCTCATATTGTTGATTTTTTTTAAATCTAAAGGTAGTGAGTTCCAGATTTTGGCAAACGAAACAGAAAATCTTCTCATCCAAAACGAGACGAATTGAAGTTAGGAATCACGAGATCACCATCATTGGAGGATCTCCGTCGATTCCGATTAGCAGTCTCTGAAACTAATTGTAGTTCTTCTTTCAAATAAGTTAGAGTGTCTCCAGCAAGATAATCTCTGACTAGAGGAGCTAGTTAGAAAACGTTTCTTTGGCATGCGCAGCCGGTGTCTGTAGATCCTTTTCGTTTCTTCTTGTTCTATCAATAATATGGAATCCTATGTAGATAGATACGTACGTGCGTTTATCTATCGGTTATTTGCTTAGGCATCTACACAATCTACAATCTACACACAGACACACACACACACACTGACACAAACAGACACACACAGACAGACAGACACACACACACAGACACAGACACACAAACACTTACATACAAATGGTTATATATAAAAATACCGAAATATACATCCAATATTTTACACTCATAGATAGATGTAAAAAAAGGCAGACGATGGTTATTCATTGAATCAATGGAAGGGAAGAGAGGTGCGTTTATCGAGTGGGGGTTCCTAATGCGCATGCGTGTAGAGTGTGTGTGTATGTATGTATGTATGTATATATGTTTGTATGTATGTGTGTGTTATGTGTGAAACAAATGAAGAAATATTTTGCAATGACATCATAAAAACTTGCATACATATTTCACAAGTATATATTTTTTCTTGCATTTTTTTTGCTATTTAATGCATAACCCATGGCAGAAGAGTTTAACGGAACTTATAAAAATAACAATAAAAGAAGAAGAAACGCTCTAAATGAAAGACATGGATGTGTATGTTTATGAATGTGTGTTTGTATGTGTGTGTGTGTGTATGTTTTGTGTGTGTGTGTGGTGTGTGTGTGGCTATTTGCGCCATGAAAAAAAGTTTTTACAGTTTTTACAGCGTAATATTGCAACGTATATAGAAATATTTGTACGATTGTACTGATCAGCTGTTTGTTGTTATTGCGTTTCTGCTGTCGGTGAGACTGACTCTAGCGTGTATCTATAACTATTTCTGTTTGAATGTTTTAAAAAGTGAATAAAATAAATGCGGTAAGGATGGTGAAAAAATTACATGGAACGAATTTTGATGTGAAATGGATGAATTCTTGGAAACAGGTGTTGGCATCCTGTATTGTTTGTTCAATTGTATGATGTCTTGTATATGTATGTTATGTTGTATTGTATGTTGTATGTTGCATGTGTATACAATACAATAAAATGGTATTGTAATTCGATGTCTCTTGTATAAAACTTACAAATGTGCTACTAATAATACAAACAAAAAATACTTTCTTTGTATAAATATTTATAAAAATACAAAATAAACAAACAAACATATTTATACAATACAAAACAAATAAACAAGAAGATAACTCGAAAATAAACACGCAACACCACCAAGATGCACAGTGTGTCTGTGCAATGTGCAATTCAGTACACAATCACACACGAGTGAACTTGACGCACGGTTCATATGAACCATCGAATCGTTTTGAAGAGGAAAAAAACCGGAAACTCCAACTGTATCGATTCGCAAAATTTAAAAAGCATCGGGAACGACGTTTGCGAACCTTCTTGGCACCTAAAGCAGAATGGCTCGCAGCAAATAGCTGACTAAAAAACAATGAAGCACGGCAGCACACACGTTTTAAAACTTGAAAATGTTTAATAAGATGCCGCCTCCAAGAAACCAGAAGGGTCAGGTACATTTATACCTTGGTCTATCTAATACACTTTGATTAATGTTTGTTTAAAATAATTGATCAATAATTGTAAATAATCATGTGGAACTTGCACAATAATGAGTTGGTTTCTTAGAGGATAATCATCTATTTATAGTCGCTCACTATACCCCTTCTAAAATTCTATTTCCATATTATCGCATAATCAGGATGTAACAAACAATTGAAAGAGTTGTGGGTGAGCAGTAGCGAATAATCATTTAATTTTAAACACACAAACACATACACAAACTAACATACAAATACACACACACACAAACTAACATACAAACACACAAACACATACACAAATTAACATACAAATACACACACACACACAAACTAACACACGCACGCAAAAACTAACACACGAATACATACACAAATACACACACTTATCAATCAAATCAAAAGTGGCTCTCAATGTTTATATTAATATTTCCATGGGGTTAATGTTTCGCTATTAAATATATATTCACATAAAAATAATCACATAATAAAAAAATAATAATAATAATAATGAAAATAATAATAATATTGAAACAAGCAAACTAATAAATAGACATAATAATTATTAATAAACCGGAGAAAAAAAATTAAAAAAAGTTACGACATCGTAACGTAACGCAATATCGCTAGCCAGACAATATGGCCAAAAAAAGGAACCACAAATCTTAAAAAAACTTCTCCCGGGTCGAAAAAATTTACTATTCAAGTACATATGCGGCCCTCCAAAGGTAAAATAGTTCTCAATGCGGCCCTCACAGCAAAAATTTGCCCACCCTTGCATATCATCATTAGATATGATAACAATTATGAGAAATTATATCCACTAAAATGACAACATCAACAGTTAACAATAACATCAACAGACCAAACAAGCAATGACATTAATATGAATAGCAACAACACTAAAGCAACCGATCTTATTGAAGCATTGACATGAAAACTTGCCTATGTTACACATTTTTATAAACATACAAACACACATACCCACGAATACATAGAAACATACAAACATACACACATGCACACACACACACACAAACAGACATATACACACAATGTGAAATAGTGTTACAGTTAAAAAATGCTTATACTTTTCTTCATCTTTATTACGGTCATACACATGAACACACTCCCGCATAAACATACATATATATTATACATGCAAAAATACATGCAAAAATACATATATACATACATGCATATATAAATACATTCATTCATTCATTCATACATACATACATACATACATACATACATACATACATACATACATACATACATACATACATACATACATACATACATACATACATACATACACACATACATACATACATACATTTCCACTTATATATGATGATTATAACAATGATAATAACGGATGATAAATGGAGATTTATCTTCGCATAAGTACGCACACACAAGTTTTGCTACAGCAAAAACATAAACATAAAAATGAACAAAGGTTATTTTCTTCTCTAAGCAGTCATCGTCATACTCCATTATTATCATTGTCATCATCATCGTCGTCGTCGTCGCCAGGATTTGTGAAGAGTTTATTAAATTAAAACCGAAGTACATTAGGTACGAAAGAAATAAAGAATGAATGAAAAGACAAAATGGAATGTGATGAAATCCCAAATAGAAAATAAGTAAGCCACAATGGCATAGCATAACATGCTTCTCAATAATAAATTACAATACTGCAGCACTTCAACATGAAGACCAGCCAGTTCATAAAATGTAATTATTGAATTAAATACATTACTCTATAGACTATACCAGCGCAAAATTAAAATCATTCATACATTCATCCATATTTAAGAAATGTTTATATCAGCATAAACACACACCACACACACACAAAAAGGAACAAAAGCAATTCACACACACACACACACACACACACACACACACACACACACACACACACACACACACACACACACTCAAATACAAACATACACATACACAGACAGTAGTAAACCAAAAATTATCAACAATCACAAATTGAATGTTTAAACAATTATAAATTGTACAGACAGCTTGGATTGCAATTGCACGTTTAAATTAACGTGTGATAGTACATATCGCACACGCACTAAGTATATGCTGCGTGTATATGTGCACATTACATGTGTGCGTGTGTATGTGTGATTGCTTATCTCGTGAGTGATCATGATAATCCAATTAAGCCAGTTTCTTTCCATTCTCAACGAACCACCATTGCAACTTACATTACTACACATTACTACAGAAATATCCTTAAACCTAGAATGATGTAAATTGTAGCAGTTAAAACATTCTTATGAAAAATGTAAAAAAAACTAAATAAAATTACATTTGCTATTTCTACTAAGTAAAACCGACAGGCACTACTACTCAAATACTACTTGACAAAAATATCTGTTGATGCGTATCAACTTTTATAAATCGGAAATATTTTTCTAAGTGTTCGTCCTCTTCAGAAGAGGCACACTCATGAAGAGGATTTCTTGCGAATGTTAATGACACAACCAGAAATTTATTTCCTGCCTTGAAAATTCATTTAAATTCGTGATTAGCGTAGATATCAACCTTTTAATTTTGTACGTATATATACACAAAGGACGTTACCGTCCTGTTGGTCTCCTCGTTTGACAGTGCCACCTAGTTGTCATGTTACGCTCGTTGTGGCATTGACCTGATTTAAAACAACTATAATAACCATTTCGATTTCTACCTGAAATTTTACTTTGCATGTTATTTTATTTCGTTTTATTAATATTACTTTTATCATAATTGTAACTACTCTACTTCATTATTCATCGCATTTTATTTTATTAGTCCCTTTATTTCAATTACTGACTCGCCATAGTCTTATAATTCTTGTGCGTTACTCTCACATGGGTTGAATTTGATCCTGCAGTTGATGCAGCCTTCCCTAGCTTCTACGTTTCGTTTCACACTTAATCTAACTTAACGATGAATTTTTAAACAGGAAGCTAACAAATAAGAATCATTATTATAATTTTTCACAATTAAAGATAAAATGAATACACCATTGTTAAATATACAACCCAACCACCCACCATTTAAGAAAAGATAAAAACCGGAATATCATTGGATAGCATGTGACAATGATTGTGCAACAGAAATCATTTCCTTCCCAACAAATAACAACTAGTAACTGAACAAATGATTAAATGTACACTTAATTACTAGAAACTTGATCTGCGTACTGCTATAAGCTGATTACTTCTGTTCAGCAGTAAGCAGTATTATGATACTAACAAGATTAACCAGTAGTATAAACTACATTCAAAATTGAGAAACACTGTTACAAAGAAGATATCCTGATTAAGTTATAACCAATCAACCAATGATCAAACAATCAGACACAGCAAGAATTTTTAATCAGAAAAATTTTGCTATAACGTGAAAATAATAAAAAAAATATTATTTTCAGTTTTGAAGGCATAAACACGAACGAACACAGATACTCACAGACAAGAAAACGCGCGCGACAACACAGTACGTCACGTAACGTCGAAACACACATACACACAACACACACATACACAAACATGGAAGATAGTAATAATGTTCAACATGGGAGAGAACCTGAGTGTCACTTCAGCAACTGAACGAACGTTTTTTGTGGAACAACTATAATTCATCATTACACGATTTACAATTGAATGGACAAGTGAATGAAATAATTTATACGTGCATGTGATAAACACATATGTGATAACAATAATTTAAGAAACATAGCAGGATAGGATACAACATTAATTCAAATAACATAAAAAAAAATAAACAACATGCATGCATACAGACGGACACGAATGTGGAAGTCAAATTTCACCAATTATGAAAACCAACAAAAAAGACAATCACAATCAATACGAACAAAAGAACATTAATAAGCAACAAAAAAACAAATAAACGAAACAAACAAATAATAAAACGCTACATAATGATTCTGGGATCGCACACGGAATCTGATATTTCCTTATGCGGAAGAACGTTTCCTCCGTTGATGTACAGCTCATCCTTTACAATCACATCCTCACCCAGTACTGTCACGTTCTCCATGCGAACCTATAATATTAATTATAATTATATTAATTATAATTAATTATTAACTACAACATCTTAACAAAATGTTTAACATCGTTATCGTTCAAACTGACAACAAAGAGCCAACAAAATATGAGTTAACTCGCTGCATGCATTGACACATCCAGTACAAGACAGTAACATTATGAAAATTGTAACCAATGGCACTGTAAAATGCATTAAGGATACTTCGGCAAACATTTTTATCACTCTAATCCTAATCAAACCACATGGTCACCACCAAAATGGCAGAAAGCCAGCCAACATAAACCCAGCAGCTACTGACCCACTGTCCCACTTGACATTTCCATCCAACGATGGAAGAGTTGATCCAGGCGTGGGACTTGATGATGCTGCCAGCGAGGATGGTGCTCCTCTTGATACAGACGCCATCTTCTATAACAACGTTGGGACCGATCGTTACGTTAGGGCCGATTCGACAATCTGTACCTATCCGTACTGATGGGTCCTGCGTTGTTCGTGTAAATGTTGTTGTTTGTTGGGTTGTTTGTGCTGTTGTTTGTGCTGTTGATTGCGTTGTTGTTTGTGTAAATATTGCTGTTTGTTAGGCTAGTTGTGTGAATACCTTTTTTGTGTTGTTGACTGTGTAAATGTCCTTGTTTGTTAGGCTGTTTATGTTGTAGTTCGCGTAAATGTTGTTCTTTGTTAGGCTGTTTGTGTTATTGTTTGCGTAAACGTTGTTGTTTATTAGGCTGTTTGTGTTGTTGATTGTATAGATGTCATTGTTTGTTAGTCTGTATGTGTTAATGCAGTTTCAAAAGATTATAAAAAAAAACATTTCTAACAAAAATGCTGTAATGATCAACATCCTTCTTATAAATATAACTATTATTGATATCGTAATAATGAAAATAGAAAACAATACAAAGATGAAGAGCTAACCACGAGCACATTGCCAACCATCCCGATCCCTGTACACAACTCTTCAGGCTTCCTGTGTTTCAGATGGTTCAAATATAGGCACATTCCAGTTAGGAAGTCTTTGGGCTGGCCGACATCCATCCAAAATCCTGGTTGGATGGGATATGCGAATGTTGGGTGGATGTGTGTGGCTATGAGTAAGCTGTAATTGATAGTCGACCAGTGTTGTTGAAAACATTAACTTTTACATACATCAGCAAACAAGAATTTAAAGAGCAAACAGCAGCAAAAATATCAAGGCATGGCTAACTTAATATTTTTAATGTATTTTTATTCCTTCTGATTTCAACCATGTGTTAAAAATAAATGAATTTCTTTGCCTGGAAGACAAAATAAAATGTGGATAACACCGATGCAGCCATTTTCGTTCCATAACAAAGATGACAACCGACCCTGTAACTCGAATGCATAAAGATCGCCATCGGCTGCCATGTGTGGAAAGATTTCCTTCTCGATGGAGGTCGGTCTCAACTCAATCCTGTTCAGTATGCTGGTGTTGAACATGTAGATGCCTGCGTTGATCTTGTTCGATACATACTCCTGAGGTTTCTCCACAAATCTTTCTATCCGTCCCGTTTCTGCTCCATACACCACAACACCGTATTTTGATGGTTCATCAACTTTTGTCACCTGGTTGTGATTGGTTGGGTGTGTGTGGTGATGTATAGGGAGGGTGTGATAGGTTTGATAATTAGGAAAGTAATGATATCTCATGTTTATACAAGCCAGGTAACTTATAAAAAGCTCATGAGACTTAACATTACTTCTACAACAAATTTACTTGAAATATTACACGAATAAGGGTATAATAATCAAAACTACATAATATAATTTTTATATAAATAATTTACATCCCCATACTTTTCATGCACAAAAAAGTTATAGTTAGATAGTGGAAAGAAGTGGAATGAAAACATACGACGATGGTGCCTTCTTTGGAATGGTTTCGATGAAATTGGATCATCTCTTTGAATGGAAAATCACAGATGATGTCACTATTCAGGACAAAAAATGGTGAGGAATCCGACTGAAGTACATCCCTGGCCAGGGCAAGGGGTCCAGCTGATGAGGAGGAAATACAAATGTCAATCAAATAACTGAAAACCTATCAAAAAACAAAAAGAGACAGAACGTAATTAACACCTACTGACATATGATGACTCAATAAAATAAAATGCATGCATAGACATATACGGAACAATAAAAAATAAACCAACTGACCTGTTCCCAAAGGACTCTTTTCATGTGACATGGTAATTTTGATCCCCAGCTGCATAATATATTAAAGTTTCATGATAGTTTTTTTTAAACAATTTTAATTAAGGTAGAAACTATTTTCTTCTGTTCACATTAATTGCTACAGCTACTAAAATGATGTCAATGTTGATATAATGATGATGTAAAGTTTTATATTTCTATCACCAATTAAGGATTCAGTTATTGGAGAGTAATAGTAAGAGAGAAAAAAACAAAACTAACACTTAGTCAAAAAGTAAAATGATGAGAATATTAATTTAATTGAAAATAAAATTAAAAAATGAAGTAAAAAGTTACTCTTTTTTCTTCAGCAGTTAATTCGTTAACGAGCATGTCCGCATTGTAGCTGACGGCCAGCACGATGTGTGTAACACCTGCCTAATTATGAATCAGTCAGATCATTTCACTATTTTGTGTTCAAAGTTTTTTGCATTTAAGTAATTTTTGAAATCAATTATTTTTATCAATACTGTTCATTTTGATTCATTTTTTAATTGATTGAAGAAATAAAATTTAATTAACATAAATTAATTAACATTGAATGCTATATGAATGTATAGCAGTAAGCAGAGTTTGTTTTTTACATATAACTTCATAACTTATTGTAAAATTTAAACCAATTAATAATAATCATACAAATCTACAAATTTAAAAAAAAGAAAACAGAATAAGAAATGATCTAACTTCAACAAGTGCCTCAATTTGATGTAACAACATGGGTTTATTGGCAAACTCGATGAGAGGTTTGGGTCGTGTTAACGTGAGGGGTCTCAGTCGGGTCCCATAACCACCTACCAATATCAGGGCCTTCATCTTTTTGTCCTCTCTAAATTATTTATAATATGTACTTATTAAAACATGTTTGAAATTAATAGGTGTTTAATTAGAACACAAGCAAAAGCATCATTAAATGATTAAATAAAGCTGAAATGAGATGATAATACAGTAATTATTACACATCAAATACATTATTCTAAAATGGTTTAATAATTATGGTGTGCTGAAAATGCCCTTTGTTGCATTAACAATAAATTTGTATATCATTTTTGTCGGTTCTCTAATTATTTGTTTCAGATTTATCTAATAAATAAATAAATAAGCCTCTATAGGGCATTTGAGAAATTATAATGAAACATTAACATTTAAGCTAACACTCTTGGTATCTGTAAAGTGTAAAGAAGTCAGTATTTTATTTCCAAAAGCTAAATTAATAAAATAAAGCTGTTGAATTAATTGTTCTACTCTGTATTTCTATGATTTTGCTTTTACATGAAATGCTTCTTAGTGTTAGTCACATAGTAAAGTAACATTTTCTATTTTAAAACCAACAATCTTGTCCACCAGCCTTCTTGTTCATTTTAAGTTGTATGTATTTGTAACGTAGTGATAGTGGCTAGCCTCATTAATATTTTTGGTATTAATATTAATTATTAATTAAAGTAAATATTGTAAAATGCAAACAAAAAATCTCATAAATAAGCCTTGGCTTGTTAATTTTGACTTTTTGTTTCTTAAACTTATTTTGGTTACTTTGGGAAATTTTTGCTGAAGTTCGATTTGAGTTCAGTTAACTGTTAAGAAGTAAGATAAGCATAAGTAAGATGATGAAACATTGAAGTTTGAATTAAAATTCTAAATAAATTATAAAATAATAAAATACAACTTTAAAGAAAGCTTCTTGACAGTTGATTGAGCAACTTGAACAGCCAAAAATACGTTGACGAACAACTAATTAATTCTACACTAACTTTCACACTATTTTTCACACTTATTCTACACTAACTTTCACACTAACAAACCGAACGAAAAGCGACAACCAAAAAAACCTGGCTAAATGTTTAAATATGAAACGCTGACGTTGAAGAGATGGTCTTCTGCGATTGTACTTCACATGTGTATTATATATTAATTATTAAATATTCAATGTGTCAGATAGATGTAATCAAATTCCTATACACATGAATTTAACATTTATTATTATTATTATTATTATTAGATTATTTATATATAAAGCGCCCTTTATTGTTCTCAAAGGCGCTAACAATGTAAAAGTTGATTAAATGCGCTAATGCAAAAGTTGATTAAATGTTTCACTTCAATCAAATCATATCATGAAAAGTTTGTCTGAAAAGATGGTTCTTTAGCTTTCTTCGAAATTCAGTAATTGACAACCCACGATCTCGCAAGTCAACCGGCAAATTGTTCCAAATCTTCGGTCCCATAACAGCGAAATCTCTGCAACCAACAGCAAGCTGAGTTTGTCGAATTGTTAATTTAGCCATCTAGTATGTATGCGTGATTATTAAGTAATGTTCTATGTAAAGATTATTTAGCTGTTATTAATTTATAATTTGATTTCATTCATTCAATGATACTCTGTAATCCCTTAAGGGACCGTTGCAGCCGATGGTATTCTTCTATCTCTCCAAAATCCTTTTCTTTCCCTCGCCATCTTCATTGAGCCCAATGTTCCAACCCCCGTCCATTCCGTGATATCATCCATCCACTTCCTCACAGTTCTTCCCACTTTTTTCTTCCAGTCCCTCTTTCTCATCAGTACTTTTTTGATCAGTCTGTCGTCTGTCATTCTGCAAATGGGCCCAAAGATACCCAGCTTTCTTTCCTTGACACTTCCGAAATCATTATCTTTGTCTTACTGCTGTTGATGTGTAGTCCATGGTTTCTTCCACCATCATACGTCAACTCGATCAGTTTCTGTAGACCCTCTGCACTAGATGCTAGCAGATCTATATCATCTGCAAACCTGAGGTCCCTTATCACTCTGCCTCCAATGTCGATTCCCTCAATATCTGCATTCTCCATTTTTTCCAAGGCTCTTTCCAATAGTGCTAAGAACAGTAATGGTGATATCGGATCTCCTTGTCTACTTCCTATGTTCGCTTTGATCCAGTCTCCCATCTATGTACCTACCTTTACCGCCATTGTTGACTCCTCATAAAGCCCTTTCAGCACCCTTACCATTTTTGTTGACACTCCCATACTTCCCAAAGTTGCCCACAAACCTTCGTGCCAGACTGAATCAAACGCCTTCTTAAAATTCACAAAACAATGAAAAGTTGTTTGATCTCTGCTTCCTGCATCTTCCAACAATAGTCTCAACATCAGGATTTGCTGGACTGTACTTCTGTCCTTTCTGAAACCTGCCTGCTCCTCTCCTAAATGCTGCTCTATGTCTTTCTCCAATCGGCAACACGATCAAGATTGATTTACACCAATCTTCTGGCCATTTTCCACTGTCCCAGATTTCTTGGCAGATTTTGTGAATCTCATTACATACAATTGCTCCTCCCGCTTTGATCAGCTCTATGGGAATTCCGTCTCTCACTGTGCTCTTATTGTTCCTCGTTTTCTTCATTGCTTTTATTACTTCCTCCAATGTTATTTCCGTTTCTTCCTCATTGACTACTTTTCTTTCTTTTAAAGCCTGTAACACCTCCTTTGTATACGTGTTTTTATCTGTGAACAGGTCCTTGATATATTCCGACCATCTATCTTTGATTTGTCTTTAATAATCCTTGACGTATATTTTGATTTAATCACCGTCATTTATAGTTCACTGATCAACGTTGATTGAATGAAAAAAGATTAGATTTTTTTTTTTTTACTCAACCACATAGCATTTCTTAAGTCAATTTTGATTTTCTACATGAAATGGTGCTTTTCTTGTGCAAAAACTGCTTAACAATACACTCACAAACCGCCCCATAGACATGCCTTTGTACTTTTATGAAGTTATGGTTAAAAACCATGGATATATATATATATATATATATATATAAATCCATGTTAAAAACACTAGTTTTTTAATCGATTTTAAAAGTATTTTTTCAATGAACCGTCATAATTATCATAGTACCATAAAGTTTTTGATATTAAGTTTGACAATATTATTAGTGCTTGGGTCATTAGATTTCTAAAAATGAATTTATTTTAAAAATGGCGGTGTAGAAATAAAAACTGTATTTTGCCTCAATTAACCAAACAAATGAATTCTTGCGTTTTTAGTGCTCTGAATAGTTTTTGATTATATTTCTCCAATTCTTAAGTTGTTATTTAAAAATTTTTTCTGTAATTTCTTTCTTGTTTTGTACCTAATTTTAAAAATTTATTTGTAATCAATATCAATATTAAATATTATTTAATTAATTTAAATTTTGATTTTTATTGTTATTCTCACCGTCTGTTTGTTTCATTAATTAAATCAATAATTAAAATTTCTATTACAGATTTTTTAGAGTTTAGTAGTTTTATTAGTAATAATTAACAATTGCCAATGGCATTTGCTCAGGTTTGTTTTAAAATGTTTTCATTTTTTTTTATTAATAAGAGTTTAGTCTTTAGTGCTCTTCTTGTCTAGTTTCTGCATTTTAATGTTAAATGCCTAACTTTTTTGACATTGCTTCATTTTATTTTTGACTAGACCCGACTGGACCCAGAAGCCATATTTACTCGTCAGGAACGAATTGGCAAAGGCTCCTTTGGTGAAGTTTACAAAGGCATTGATAGAAGGAATCAACAGACGATAGCAATAAAGATTATTGATCTGGAAGAGGCCGAAGATGAGATAGAAGACATCCAACAAGAAATTATGGTGCTCTCTCAATGCGACAGTCCTTATGTCACTAAATATTATGGATCTTACTTGAAGGTTTTTTTCAGTGACTTTTTAATAAATCTTTTTTCATTTTACTCATTTTTAATTAGTGACTGATAATTAAACTAATAACCATGTAATCCACAACTGACAGGATACAAAATTATGGATAATAATGGAATATCTAGGTGGTGGATCTGCTCTCGACCTTATGAAAGCTGGGGCATTTGATGAACAGTACATAGCTATTATATTAAGGGAACTTTTGAAAGGGCTTGAGTATTTGCACGGTGAAGGAAAGTTGCATAGGGATATTAAAGGTTGGATGATCAATTTGCTTTTAGTATTTTTCTTTATATTTGCGACTTAATTTTTTTATTTAAATGTTTATTAAATCTATCATTCATTGATTATACTGTTTATCTTGTGATTTATAATTTATATACAATTCTTTTTTCAAGATAAAAAAAAATGTTTTTCAAACATTTTTCATTCATTTATGATTGTCATTGACACGACTTTATGTGTAACAACTTCTTATAACATATGACCATTTCACAGCTGCTAACATATTGCTGTCAGAGAAGGGAGATGTGAAGTTGGCAGACTTTGGGGTGGCAGGTCAGCTGACAAACACCCTTAATAAGAAAAGCACCTTTGTTGGTACCCCATTCTGGATGGCACCTGAAGTTATTAAGCAAACCCCTTATGATTGCAAAGTTAGTTTTCATCATATCGAATGAACATTCATCTAATTAAGTTACTGTTTATTTAACCGTACTTTCAAATTATTTTTTGGTTATTTAATTTTTTTGAAAATTTGCAAACGTGTAATAAAAATTGTGGACAATCTATGCGATGTTCATTGATTGGAATTCTAATTTAGCTCAGTTGTTTATGCTTGTTACATTCCTGACATTCCATTAAATCTGGTGAGACGATTTACTTGGAGAAGATAAATTGATTGACACATGGCAGTAAATATGTTATAAGTATACGAACATATTTTAAATTTAGAAAGTAATCAAATGAATTATTATTACATGATTACCCTTAATAGAAACTGTCATATTCATAGGCTGATATATGGAGTCTTGGCATTACAGCCATCGAATTGGCCAAGGGTGAACCGCCCAACTCAGACATGCATCCAATGAGGGTCCTGTTTCTCATTCCCAAGAACAACCCCCCACAACTCACTGGTGATTACAGCAGGGCCTTTAAAGATTTCGTCGAACTATGTCTCAACAAAGAGCCTGAAAACGTTAGTACCAAGTTTTTACTTTCAATGTGAGCAGGGTAGAAAAAGAGAGAGAGATATAAAGAGAGATAGAGAGAGAGAGAAAAAAAAAAGAGAGAGGAGAGAGAGAAAAAAATTCTTAGAAAGTTGTTTTTATTTATAATTCAGTTTATTTGGTGAAAGTTTTGGTGCCCCAAAGCAGTTATTATTAATTAATTCAATCAGGGATTGTTTAGTACACGTCGTTGTAATGCGTAATGAATGAATAATGCAATAAGTAAACAAGTACTGTGTTGAATGTTTTGTATTGGACTAAAAATAGCATAAGTAACATGGTAATAGCAAGCCAAAGAAACATTAGGAAGCAAACAAACGTAATTATGACCAGCCATAATGTTAGCAGCATTTGCATTAAAACAGAGACCACAAGCCAAAGAGCTATTGAAGCATAGATTTATTGCGAAATCAAAGAAAACATCTTACTTGGTGGAGCTTATTGACCGATTTAAAGATTGGCTGAAAGATCACGACAACGATGGAGAGATGAACAGATATGATGAGGAAGATGATGATGACGATGATGAGTTAGTAAATATTTATGCATTGTTTAATTTGAAAAAAATTTTCTTTTGTTTTTCTTTTGCAGCACTAACAACTGTGCTTACAAATTGTTCCATATTAAACTGCAATAAGACTTTCATTCCACAAAAGGCTGTAACATCCAAAGCACATGACACACAACACGAACGAGTACTGCTATAAGTGTTTGATAGTTTTTAAGTTTTGAGCAGACAGCAGTTGAACCTTGTCAGTGTGCAATGACAATGTAAGACATGTTGCACTTACCATCTGAGCTAACTTTCCACAAATATTTTGCTTCAACTATTCTAATAATGTTTCTTACATTTTTGGTGATTAATTCTTTGAATGATAATTCAAAAGGAATAGTTACATTTGAGATTGAAAATTTGTATTTGACAGTGAAAATGGTTGCAACACCCCTTCCAACACTGTTGATTGGGTTTGGGGTACGGTCAAGTACAAATCAAACAACAAGAATGATAACAACAACAACATCAACATCAACAGTAACAACGACAACAGTTGCAACAACGTCCACAGTTTTAATGCCAAGCATACTTTCAACAATTCTTCTTCAGACAACATGGTATGGTTTGTTTTATTTTCCAAATATAAAACTTTATTTTAAATGTTTAGTTAGGCGTTTAAGTTTTATTAAAAGAATATACAGAAATTTGAATTTACTGTTCAGTCGTGATATACTTTAAAATGTAAGAGATTTGTTGAAATTACCAACAGTACTAAACTACTAAATAGTAACTTACTCAATGGTTGCAAGTGGTTTTTGATTTGTGATAGGCAAACTTACGTAGATGAAGATTATTCACTTTTTAAATTTTTTAAAATTAATATTAATGAAATAAATTAAGAATTATTTTTATTTTTCACCTAAAGTTTGTTATCTTATTAATTATTAAATTTTTTAAAATGTTTAAAGCCAACAGAAAAGCATGATAATACTAAGAATACACAGTTACTGGATGATGAGGTTCAATCATTCGTTCGTTCGTTCGTTCGTTCGTTCATTCATTCATTCATACACATTCATTCGTTCGTTCGTTCGTTCGTTCATTCATTCATTCATTCATTCATTCATTCATTCATTCATTCATTCATTCATTCATTCATTCATTCATTCATTCATCCATCCATTCATTCATTCATTCATTCATTCATTTACTTGTTCGTTCGTTCATTTCTCCTTTTATTCACTTCCACAATAATTAATTGAGCATTTAAACAATTAATTTATTAATTCATTCATTCACTCGTCTTTTTTAATCAACCATCTATCCACTTTTTTATTGATCCATTAAATAACTTATGCAACGTCTCCAATATGTTTTTAATTTTCATTAGAATTAGCTAAACGTTTTTTTTCTCATCTGGCTAGTCTTTATTCGCATCATCGTTCTTCTGTTCATCTATTTTTGTCAATTTTTACATTCTATCATTTTGGTTATTCATTCGCTCATCCAATCTTTTGTTCAATTCACTGTTTGTTTACTCGATTCTCAATCATTCACTCAATTTCAAGTGTTCTAAACTGTTTAACACTGCTTACTCTTTTATTTATTTTTACTTTAATTTGTCTATTTATTTGGCCATCTAGTTCTTCAGATGTTAATTTTTCGATCTATTTTAATCCAGATTGATTTAAAATGATTAAATATATGTTTGTATGTATGTATGTGCAGGTATTTTTGTTTGTGTGTATGTGTATAGTGTATGTATGTATGTATGTTTGTGTAATGTGTCTATATATATGCATGTGTGTGCAGTGCACTTATTATGGTTTGATTGTATGGTCTTGTACGGTCTTGCATTATAAAAATATTGTAAAAAATTAAAACCGAAGTTAATGTTTGTCAGAGCAGGATTATTGAGAAGTTTGCAAAAAATAATTTATTCTCATTTGAAAGTTTTTTTAAAAAAGTATTTTTTTAAAATGTCACATTGAACAGATTCAACGGTTGAAGGCATTAGGAGTTTCATCAGAACCATCATCACAAGGCCATCATGAACTACTACTACTACCACCACCGTCGTCTTTTGCGTCATCATCATCATCATCATCGGTAGAGTCATTATCATCTTCATCATCGCCATCATCATCATTAGATAAAGAGCCAGCTATCTTCTCATTAATAAAAGAAGTACGTTGGCTAGAATGATGATAATGATGATTGTAATAATAATAATAATAATAATAATAATAATAATAATAATAATAATAATAATGATGATGATGATGATGATGATGATGATGATGATGATGATGATGATAATGATAATGATGATGACGATGATGATGGCGATGATGATTATTGCAAATTTTATATTAGTGATGATTGTGGCGACGTAATAATGATAATGTTATTGATGATGATTGAGATGAGAAGTTCGATGATAATAAGGGTTATGGCTGTTATGACGATGAATATTACAGAGCGTTAAAAATGTGATTAAAAGGTTAAAAAGTTAAAAAAATTTAACATTCAATATACAGGCTGCTGTTAACCAAGCAAATTTAAAGTCGTTGCCATCATCGTCGTCGTCGTCGTCCTCCTCATCATCATCAGCTGTTAATGAGCTTCAGTCCATATTACGAAGTGTACATTCATCGTCGTCGTCGTCATCATCATCGTCGTCGTCATATTCTTCCTCCTCATCTACTTCATCACTTGATTTTCTTGATAGTTTTCTAGTAGAATTGTTGACAAATTTCGCGAACAGATCCTTTTCTAGCTCTCAAATAAAGGACGCCGTTGATAGATTGATTAAAAGAAATTAGATGAATGAATGAATGAATGAATGAATGAATGAATGAATAAATGATGAATGAATGAATGAATGAATGAATGAATGAATGAATGAATGAATGAATGAATGAATGAATGAATGAATGAATGAATGAATGAATGAATGAATGAATGAATGAATGAATGAATGAAGGAACGAACAAAAATATGAATGATTGAATGAATCAATGGATAAACGAAGAGATAGTTAGACGACCAGATGAATTACTTTATGAACGATTGAATAGATAGGTGAATGAATGAACGTTTGAATAAATGGATGAATGAATGAATGAATGAAGTATTAAAAAAATGAATGATAGATGGATGGACAAGTAGGCAAATGAAGGAATTAATGTTGGAAGATTACAAATTCAATTAAGCCAAATGAATTATGATTGAATTGAAGAACCAAACATGGCTGGCATATGAAAATGCTGCCACAGCTTTTAAAATTTCATTTTGCGATCTTTAATTTGGTTTCCTTAAAAATATTTTTTTATTAAATTTTTTTTCTCACCTGCTTATCTACTTATTATTATCTATATTATTGTTTCATTCAGTTATAATTATAGTAAAAGTAATAATAATTATAATAATATTTATGATGATGTTGGCGATGATAATAATAATATTAATTATTATTTTTTGTTTAACTTATTCAATCTTATAAATAGTGTGATATACATTTTTTGCTTAGTTAGTTTTATTAAGATAAGTGTTTGTTTGTTTTCTTGTTTGTTTGCTGGTTGGTTTGTTTGTTTGTTTGTCTGTCTGTCTGTTTGTTTATTTATCTGTTTGTTACCGAAAATAATATTATTGTCTGCCGTTTGTGTAGTGTAATGTGACCATATTACTACTTTTGATTAATTAATTAATTTATTTATTCATTCATATTAAATTAATTAGCCTTTCTTTATTCGGCAGAATAAGAGTACGTCTCTACCGGCCATAATGTGATTCTCTGAATCACTAAAAAACACCTTAGCTCGCAATATTGTCTACTGGGATAGTAATTGCACTAAGTTGGTTTTTAAACTCGGACCCCTGATGAGTCCTATATGGGACGAAACGCGTCCAGCCTAGAACGGGTTAGGTCTTCACAGCAATGCACCTTTGGTCTGGGTGAGAGGTGGTGTACTTCGTGTACTCGTACTGGCCAATCATACCTGCGTATATGTATATGTATATGTATATATATATATATATATATATATATATATATATATATATATAATGTATGTATGTATGTGGTGTTCCAAATGTTGCATACATAAAATGAATCAAAAAACATTACGTTCTGTTATATTGGGAAAATTATTTGAAACAGGAGTAAAAAGTAATTTCTCACTTGCACCTTTATGTTTTATGATTATACTCTCTCTCTCTCTCTCTCTCTCTCTCTCTCTCTCTATATATATATATATATATATATATATATATATGATTTTTATATTGTATTAAAAAACCTGCACACACACTCACACACATACATATATACACACATATATATACACAAACAAACAAACACACACGTCATTAAAAATCATGATTCTTTAGGATTAGTTACTGTTTGATAATAATAATAATAACAATAATTATATAATTAATAATTTTTTATTGAAATTAATTGATAGCTCATTGTAATATTGCGTATAACAACGCTTTAAACGGTAACCTGTATAATTTATTATCTGGTTTACAATTTTTGTGGATTACTTATCCAATGTTTTAGAGTTTTCATCAGAGTAATAAATACTAAAACTGCTGTTACTAACTAACTATTAACATATCTTTGAATACTTCCGCTTTCATAGCTACAACATCTTGCGAAATAGGGTAGGGTTAGTATTATTTTTTACTCTCAGTGGAACTTACTTTATGCCAAAATTAACGGTGTTAATAATAGTCAATTAGCAGACGTATAATTATTAATTGATTAATTAATTAATAACCTGATTAATATTATCGTATTAGGAGCACTGATTATTATTATATTATTATTATTATTTTTTTATGAGCGTTTCTTCAACTGTGTTTTTATTGTATTTACATATATCGTTATTACTGTATATATCAGCATAAGACGGACTGGTATTCTTATACATTAGTGGTATTGTTGTATTATTATGCAGCCAGCAATATTTTATTATTGTTATTATTATTATGAATACTAATAAATCTTCTCAGTTATCTAACAATATAGAGTCGTCTTCGGCATTGATTTCATTATTCTAATGCACATCAGCATCAATCATCACTTGATAAGTAAGTCGAGTGCACAATGTGAATGATGTGTGGACACACACACACACACACTCACACACACGCACACTCACACACACACACATACACACACACAATCACAAACACACGCGCGCGCGCGGCAGTACTCATACAAATAGGCATACATATACATTATACACACATGTACAAATAGTCATATATGCACGCACATGTCACACACACGTACATCACTTTTATCAAAGTGTGCAAGAGGATCGATAGAGCTGTGACAGTGATGCGATTTGTAAATGTTTCGTGTCTGATGTTTATTTATTTATATGTGCCGTGTGTTTGTGTGGTGTGTTTGTGTGAGTATGTTGTCAGATGGATGTTTAAAAATGTTGATTAGTGCTTTATGGATGGTCAGAGAGTTAATAATAAAATTTGATAAGCCAGTTTGTTGAATTGTTTTTTTTAGTATCATTGCATTGTTTAATATTTATAAATCGTCGTATCACCACTGAATGGTAGAAACATAGTCTACAACAGTGGTGTGGTGGTAGCTTCGAGTTTTTTCAAAGCGAATCCAGGTGATCAATTTTCATTTGAATCTTTCATTTTCATCACTGCTTATTCTGTTTGAGCTAGCTTAAGATATACATTTTCACCTGACAAAATGTTATACTCATCCTTTCAATCCATTCTGTTAGAACACGTACATCAGATACTAACATTTTTCCTGATTACTTCACTTCCAGTCAGCTACAGGTTACTCAATAAATCGTTCATGTATCCGTCTCCAGTTTTTTGTGCACCATTCTTCATGAAACAAGTAAAAATTTTTTTCCATCTGGCAACTCTAATGAAAATAATCTAGTCTGCGTCTGTTTGATGTAGGATACGTTATCTCGCGGTTCAGTCGAAGTCAGGCCACCTGTCCACACAACTGTGAGTGAATTGGTTCCTAATTTTTACTAATGTTACAGTTATTTATGTGTATGTTTGTGTATGTATGTGTATGTTTGCTGAATTTAATTTTGTTTGGGTTGGGTGGTTTTAGTTAAGTGCCATGGAAATAGTAAAAGTAATGGCAATATGTTGTTTGACTGTTTGGTTAGCTGACTGGCTGGCTGGTTAGTTGGTTGATGTAAAACTTGCGATTGTCCCATTTCTTTCTGTGTAACATTTGATTGTTCTACTTCTTTCGAGATATGGGGTGGGATATGAAATATTATGCATCGTGTGTTCTTTGACTGTTTCAAGGAAAGTATTGGCAAATTAATTTACTTTCACACAGACCTATCGATCCTCTTGCATTGTATTGATCCGTTTGCTCTTTTTTTTTATATTCTTCCTACTGTATATGGTGTATAACCTTCATTATTTATTACAAAAATAAACCATCATAAACCTGTTCCTTTGAATAGCACACACCACACAATCTCACATATTACACAAATACACACAGCTGCAAAACCTACGCGGGTGTATGTTTCACATGATAATTATAAAAATGTATATAAAGTTGAGAGGTGCGTCATTTTTACTTCCAAATGAAAATTTGAATGATTGATAGGAAAGAAAAATGGTTGATGATTTGGATGTCTGTTTCATGAAGTTAATTAAAGCTCACGAATGCCTGCTATCTTTGTTAGCTACTTCAGTTACATTTCATTTGATTATTTCAGCCATCACGTATATTTATAATTCGTTTCATTTATTTTATTTACTGAATAAAAATATGCCAAAACAATTGAGAGGTCTTTTGTTTGTTTTTTTCGACAACTAAATATGAATAGGGGCACCAATGAGCTCGTTGTTTTTACATACATGAGTGTAATCAGGTGAGTTTGAGTGCATGGCAATAGGGAAGGTTTTTTGCTTTATTTATGTGTTTAATTAATAGTTTGTGTACCTGTCCTTATAATTGATGTTGATGTATATATTTTTGTTTAAGTGTTTATTTAGATGTGTGTGTTTGTGTGTGTGTGTTTGTGTGCATTTGTGTTTATATTTGCTTGTGTGTTAGTGTGTAAGGAGTATTCATTCTAACGTTTTTAAATTTTGGATTTTGTAAATTCGAATTATTTAGAAGATGGAGATCTGTCAACTGTTGTTTTGTATATACTCTATATTCCATACGTACGTAAGCCAACTCTTCAATATATCTATGGCATATATATATATATATATATATATATATATATATATATATATATATATATATATATATATAACTAATTACAAAAAAGATATAACTAATTACAAATATAAAAAATATATATGTAACTTAATTCATCAAATTTTGTTATATTTAAGAAAATTAGACTTTAGTTTCGGCAAAAGTCAAGCAGATGAACTTCAATTCGTTAACATTTCCGACTTGAAGAACGTTTTTGTGACGAAATCGATTGCCTCCATCGTCGCCACCGTCAGAAGCAGTAGTAGCAGTGGTAGCCACACTAGCAGCAGTAGAGGTTACTACACCTTTACTTTGCGAAGCTTCTACTTGCCTGCCACAACCCACGTATTTGTGGGTTCCTTCATAACTAGTGTTTGTATAAATGATGGGAGGCGTTCTCAAGATTGCTTCATCGCGCCCCATAAAACATTTCATCGCATGGAAGCAAGCCTGCCTTGCTTCCATGCGCGACGATGTGGTCAGTGATGAGGAATATGACAGTATGTCTAGGAGCGCGTATAAAAACTGTTGCGTGATGAAGATGAGGACGACGACGATGAAGAAAATGGACGCCAATGAAAGGATGGTCAACAGGTGTGACGTTACAGATGTCAGTGTATCCACATGTATGTCGTTCCATTGTTTCAAGTCGTGTGATGATGCTCTTTTTGCTGTTGATGTTGGTGACGATGGTGTGTTCTTGGTGGTAAAGATGGTGTTTTTGTTGGTGATGGTGGTGTTGCTTCAGTGATGATGTTAAAAATTAGATTAGCTTTGATTTAACAATATGCCGTTGATAATGTGTGTGATAATTAGAAAATTAAAAAAATAAAAGAAAGTACAAAAAAATTAACGAAGCGAACACAGATGACATCGCTGCATTATAAGTTCACTCTACCTGAAAAAATATCATCAGTCCGTAGAAAAACTTGTTTGCACGGAAGAACAAAGTTGGAGTCCTCATGAACTTTGTGAACATCATGCTCGTCGAAACCACTGCTATCGTCGTAACCATCGTCCCGAAATGAAAGGATCGTCCGTTTTATTTCTGAAACAAAAATAATTTATTGAAAAAATGTTTGTTCGTTAAATAACGATTTGTTTCAGAGTCCAACTTTGAAATTACTTTAAATGTTGCGATTATTTTAAGAACGGAGTTCATATCGCTGATGAATGCAATCGACATCGCTTGAATTTTTGCAAGAACTTTTCTAGCAGTCAAGCTAATTTAATAACTTCTTTTTCGTGCTCAGCAAAATCATTGTACATTCATCTACAAACTTTTACGAACTTCTACAATTTCCCAAGAGAATTTTGCGAAATGTTTTTTTAAACGGGCGTTTCAAACGTTACAAAAATGGTAAAAATTTTAACTTGAAATCTGACAATTCAAGTTTTATTTAAATAAAAAAATATCAACCACAGTCGAAAAATGAAAGTTTTACTTTTTTCAAAATTTAATCCCAATATCATCTAAAAAAACTCAGAGATAATCTATTCAAAGTGAAGCCACGATGTAAATCGACTGAATTTGAATCTATCATAAGCAACTACAAAATTGGAAGCATTGCTTCAGACTTGTTTTTAAATAGAATTAACAAAATTTAAATAAAAATAAGTCACCTAAACAAAAAACGTAGATGGCCTAGCAAATGTTTTTTTTTGTTGCAAACTAATTATGCTGTTTCCATGTTTCAGTGTGATAATTTATTCAAAATAATGTAAGAATATATTTTGTGAAAGAATTGAAGGATTAACGTGATATTATGATAACAAAATACACTGCAATTGAATTGTTATTGTCCGATCTGTTATTTCATTCTATATATCTGATAATATTGAGTTAAAAATTGCATTAAAAAGTTAAATTTTATCAAAAATGGACTAAACAAACGTATAAATATATAATGATTTCAATTGAAAAATTGTTCTCAAAGCAATTTTCTACTTTTTCCTTCAATTGTTTTTTGTATGCCATAAGGGCATCAAAGGACATTAAAAATTTGCTTGTTTTGTCTTAATTTTAAAAATTTTTTTAAATTTTCCTCCGAGATAAAAATATTTAAAACATAAAAAAATGAAATCAAAAATTTCAACTAAAAAATTATTTTAAATTATTAAATTTTTAATTCCAATAGAGAGGAAATGAAAAAAGTGAAAAATTGCCGTTTTTAAGTAAGGTCAGTTCGCGAAGATCATCTTCTTCTTCATCCAGGAATATTTCATGATATGATGACAAGTGTGGAATGCTGCTGCTACTACTGCTACTGCTACTGCTAGTGACGTTGTGGTTAGTGCTGTTTCTGCTGCTGTTGCTGCTTTTTGAGTTTTCATTCGCCTCGTTATAACCATCGAGAAAGTACTCAAAGTAGAAATCCATTTCGGCATCGCTGGCGCAAACGTCGATGTCGATTACGTCACCGAGAAGCAGCCGAATGATGGAGTACCGACAGGGTGCCATCCCTACCACCCACGTGGATGCTGTGAAGCAGAAAAAGATAACAGAAAGTTGAATCGTTAAGTTAAATATATAGCGGTCTCTTTTTAGCATCGGATCGAGTGCAGACACCACACATCTGCTCTTTGAAATTAAAGTCAGCTTGGTGCCTTTATTGAAATGTGATTTTTCTTCCTCCAATACTTGCTCAGTTAGCAATCTGTTTGTGCCTATTAAATTTGCGAAAGATTTTAAACAGAAACCATTTTCGATCCGATTATTGGCTCCATTCGTTTCGCTATTTGGTTTTGGAACTTGCAGAGTTTCTCGTGCGTTACGATTATTTACAATGTTAGTGCTCGTTTTTTTTCTCTTTTTAATGTTATCATCATTAACTTCACTGTCATTGTTGCTGTTTTCATTGTTGTTATTTTTATTTGCGTTGTTGTTACCACTGTTATTAATGTTGTCGGAGTTGTTGATGTTTGTATTACAGTTGTTGTAATTGTTGTTGTTGCTGCTGTTGAGCAGTCCCCGCAGGAAGATAATGCTCTGGAGATGCGTGCAATTTGAAAATAGCTGGTCCAACAAATACGTGGATGAAGCATGTAATTTGGAGAATTTATAGGCTGTCAAAAGGACGTCGATTATGAAGAATGTAACTCTTAAAATTGTCAATTGAAAGCGCGAAAAAAATAATGGAAACATTATTTCATCATCACTGTCACCATCATCACCATTACCACCATCGTCATCGTCTTCGTCGCCGTAAAGTTCCTCGGGGTGGATTTCGTTGTAGTTGTTAATGCCGTTCTTGACGACGTCATCATCATCATTTTCATCTTCATCATCGTCGTCGTCGTCCTCACCATCTTCATTGTTCGAGACGTCATTATTAGTGTTTTTATCGCGCTTGTAATCTGCTTGGATGGTTCTGATGTGATTGTTAGACGGCGCCCAACGTGACGATGATGATGACGAGGATGATGATTTTGATGATGATGGTGATTTCGATGATGGTGGCGACGAAGCGGATGTTGATGAAAATTGTGAGGGCGATGAAAGAGAGGATGATGGTGATGAAAATGACGAAGAGGGAAAAGATGATGAAAATAAAAAGGCTGAGAACTCTGAATGTGGTGATGACGTTGATGATAAGGCCAATGAGGAAGATGGAGATAAAAACGTGCTAGGGTACGACAACCAGTATGAACTGGAAAATAATGAATTTAATGATGATGGATGTAACGATGATAAATGTAATGACGATGATGATGGTGATGAAGACGACGACGACGACGATGTTGTTGATAAGGATCGATACGGAATGAATTTGTAATGAGACGAGTTTTTCCTCTCCAGCAACTGTTTCAAATTCTTATCTCCACTTTCCGCGTTGTCATCGTCGTCGTCGTCATCTTCACCATCTTTTTTGTGGATCCTGCCGCGGCTACATTCGCTTCTGAAGCCTAAAATGCGGCGCTGGCAGATACGTCGGTCAAATATCTTCCTCTTGTGGCTGATGTATCGCTGGTTTGATTGACTTACAAGGCTTTTCAGTCTGATCGATATTAAAGAAATAAATTTGAAATTTAGAACAATTGAAGAGAATAATTGACCAGATTGTTGATGAGTCAAATTCAATGAAAAACACGCTTCATTTTTATTTGCGATGAATAAATGATAGTTAAATGAATAAACGATGATCTCTGCATTATGAATCAATATGGATGGAATAACAATTTTTCAGCAAAAGTGAACATTTGAGAGTTTAAAAATATTTTTCGTCAATTTATTCATTACAACCTGATAGCCTAACAAAAGAAAAAATGTGTGATAACAGTGAAATGATAGAAAAATAATATTTTTTTATAGAGATAATTAAGTAAATAAAAGTTTAGTATGATTCACATTATTTTAAACCTTTCTTATAAACATCACCTGTTATAAGCGACGCTGGAGACAGCTCTCCAGCCATTGGCTAGAAAGATTGGAGTAATGTTGAAGATGTTCAACGTTGATTGGATGTCTCGTCGAGTAGCCGGCCAAAAAGGTCTGGTCCTGATGTGTTGGTCAGCGTGTAGGAGGCTGATGACGAAGTAGGCGAGGGGGTTGTTTATGAGGATCTCCATACTTCTGTGTAGGTGGGCTTTCAACGTGCTGACTCTTATCTTGAAGAGGTTTTGTGGTTCTTTGAATGGTTCGTTCAATAGTTTTAAGGTGAGGTTCTTGTGCATGTTGTCAACTTTCATTATTGTTGATGTCGTTTGTTTAAATGAACAGTTGTTGATGCTGTCGTTGATGTTGTAACTCCAGCTCATGTTGTTGATATGTGAACTATTGTTGTTGTATTTTTCGATGCTGCGCAAGTTGTTGCAGCTCTCGAATTTTCGCCTAAGCAACTGGAGTACTTGGAGACTGACGTCTGATTTATGCAGTTGGCATTCATGCTGTGGAACCATCCTCATCATCATCAGCGTCGTCATCGTCGTCATCTCCATCATTGCATTGTGGTCGTCTTTATTTACGACATCCAGATAAAAACGATATCCATTTCTTAGCTGATGTTGTTGTTGATGATGATGTTGCTGACGATAATAATAACTGTGGCGACGATCACGAGGATGATGTTGTTTTGGAGTATTCTTCTGATGTGTTGTTTGTTGCTGGCCTGGTTGTCCCTGGTTGAACTGGTGATGATGAAAAAGAAGAAGATGATGACGATTTGACTGAAGACAACGAAAACGAAACGCTAGAAGCAGGACTGTTGAAACAAGCAGAAGACTGAACGTCATGGAATAGATGGAGTAAATTACAAACAACATCAATCGTTTGCGTCTTGTTGACCCACTACAATGCTTGGATATTTTCTGCTTGCATATGTCCTCCTCGTTTGCTGCAGATGATGTTATTTGTATGGATGCCGTGTTCCTTGCCTGGAAGCATTCACTCGTCAAGACGGCACTGTTGTCGTTGTTTGTTTTGTTGTATACAATTTTGTTGAGTGTGTAGGTATCAACGTATGCGTTTTTTGATTTGTGCAAGTTTTCGCGACACAACTTCAACAAGCATTTGCAAATTGCCAAGCTTGTCGCCACGCTCGATAGCAACAAAATTGTAAACTCGTTAACATGTTTGTTGTCAGAGAAGCTGTCGTTGTCTCTGCTGATGTTGTTGTCTTCGGAGTTGTACTCATTTTTGTACCTGTGATTGAACTGATTTGAAAGTATTTGTTCACTTGGGCTCAATTTCTTCAACCAGTGCATTTCTACTGATCTGGGTTTATTAAATTTATCGAAGTGCGACTGTTCAAGTTGTTGATGATGTTGTTGGTGTTGTTGGTGTTGTTGTTCATTTTTATGATGATGATTTTGTTGGTGTTGTTCATTTTGATGTTGTTGTTGGCCCTGTTGTTGTTGTTGTTTAAGTTTGTTAGGATATGTTGGCAGATGTTGTTGATGTTGATTAAGCAGTTGTGGATGAAGATATGGAATGAATTGCGTACCACCACCACTCTGTTGCCAAGCGTTTTCATGACGAACGAATGGAATTGTCAAATACACAGCTGTCTTTGAGCAAATGTCATCCAACAGAATTTTGAAACTTTTCACAATTTCTGTAATTTGAGTGAACTCATTCTTTGTTCGTTTTTTAAATGTTGTTGCATGTGACGGTGACGACGAATTTGTTGCAAATGTATTTTTCATCTCCAACTTCACTTCCGAAGTTGGTGTCGTCGTAGATGAATTCGTTGGAAAAAATTTTAATTGAGAGGAAATGTTGAGTGGAATGTTGAACTTCATGTTGAAGATGTCAGCCTTTTGTTGGCAGCGCACGACAACATCACATTTATAAAGCTCCTCTCCTTCCAACAAGTCCAGGACGAGAATGTTGAAAAAGTAAAATGGACACCTTGTTGTACGACCTGATATGTGCAAAACAAAATACACAGTTATGTACACCATATACACATGTACAAAAGCTCTTATATAATGGAATCATTGAAACACGATGAGACAGATGAAACAAATTAAAA